GCGGCCCATGCCTCTCCATCTGCCACACGTCTGCGCTCAGTCCTGGAGCGTGGTTTGCTAACCGTGTCCCGTGTTCACCCTAGCCAGTCAAGCCAGAGACCTGTTATCAAAAATGCTCGTGATCGACCCCGACAGGCGGATCTCGGTGGACGAAGCCCTGCGGCACCCCTACATCACCGTGTGGTATGACCCCGCCGAGGCCGAGGCCGTGAGTACCTGCAGGGACGGTGGGCGAAGGGGCCGGCCCGCGTCGCCCCAGGCCTCCTGTCAGTTCAGAACGGCGACACAGGCAGCCGGCTCTGGGTTCTGAGGGTCCTGGTATCCGAGGGCCGAGGGTTCTCTGACCCCTCTGGGCACTTGCTGTTGGCACGCGTGCTCGGAGCCTGGAGTGTCCCTGTGTGGCGAGACGCTGTTGGCCCCCCTGTGGACGCTGTGTGCTCTTGTCCTGAGTCCTCTCCCTTCCTGACACTGTCCCTCGGCTCGGTTCCATCCCCTCCTAGGCCACCCGGTCAGAGGGGTAAGCACCGTGCTGCTAACCCAGGTGTCCGGCCCCCAGAGGCCCCTTCCGCTCCCCTTGCTAGGGAGCCCTTCGGTGTGGACCCACAGCAGCCCTGTGCTGTGTGGTCTCAGCCGGAAGTGACATCGTCACACCATGGGGTCTGGGAGCTCTAACGAGAGGAAGGCAGCCCAGCTGTGTCTCGGGGAGGAGCACCCATGGTGGCGCCCCGGGGTGCTGCGCATAATGCGCTTGGTCAGGTGCCTCCAGTGCTTCACGGCTGCTTGATTTTGAAGAGGATTACTATTAATATCTCTTTTCCTCAGTATTTTCTTATTTTGATTCTGAAAGTGACATAAATATCACATGATAAAAATGTTACAAGCCATGTATAGGGGACTAAGCCCGCACCATGAACAGACTAGAAACGGCCCAGTGCCCGCCTTCCTCCACCTCCTTACGTTTGAGCCGCTCACATCCGAACTGTGCTCTGACTTCCAGCCGCCGCCGCAGATTTACGACGCGCAGCTGGAGGAGAGGGAGCATGCCATCGAGGAGTGGAAAGGTGAGGCTGTCACTCGGCGCTGCGCACAGTGCCTCACGGCCAGGCAGAGGCCTCCTGCGGACAGGAGCCTTCGAAGAGGGGCTGGAGAGCCAGGGCTGTCCTCTCCCCGCTGTCCACTGGGAAGGGAACGCGAAGGCCGCAGACGGGGGCATTTCATCAATTCTTGTTACATGCTTCCGGAGTAAGACACAAGGACCTTTCACGTACTCTTACAGCAGTAACCGTGGGTCTGTAAGCTGAGCCAGTCCTTGTGTCACACCTACCTCAGCGCGCTGGGCGCCAGCAGCCCCTGCACGGCCGCAGTTACACGTGAGGTTTGCGGTGCACACACTGGGAGCTGGCCCTGGGTCAGCCGTGCTCATACTTACATACGTACATGTTTTTCCTTGTCAGAGGGTGCGTGTGCTCACGGAGGGGGGGGCACCCCAACAGGCACAGTCACACCACGTCTGTCCACCCTGTCGGGGTTGGGGCGTGCACACACATGCACCTGGCATGTTTTCCAAGCCTCTGGGGCCTGCATTCAGACTGCAGTTGACCATGTGGGACTCAGCACCCGTAAGCAGTAGGTTATGGGATCCGGCCTCTGCTGGTGTTTTTCCGCCACATAGCTATCTGTGTGCTTTCAGTCTAGTTTGCGGGAGAGTGCAGATCAAAACTCCGCAAATACATTCGGTTATAAGCGTCACCAAACCTCCCACAGCGGGCTGAGTCCCCGAGGAAAGGCTGGGCTGGCAGCAGCTCACCTACAGGCAGGACCAGTGCTGGCTGCAAGTGTGGTCAGGGTGGCCCACGCACTGACCGGCCCTGCCCAAGGCCCCTCTGGGAGGAAGAGCACCTGCCCCCACGCATGCACACTCGGCAGGGCGGCCCCCCAGCCACACACAGGCCCCAGCGCACACCTGTTACCTCGTGGGCACGCGCCGTGGGGCCCTCGTGGGCACACTCTGTGGGACCTAATCACTGTCCTACAAGGCCGCTCTCTTTACGAATGGAAGTTGAAGAGAATGGAAGGTGAAGCAGGGACAGGCTTAGGGATGTGGGCTCGTTTCCGGCCCTCCTGGAGGGGTTTCGTGGCCCGCACGTGGCTGCTGGTCACCTCTGAAGAAACACAAGTAACAGTGTTACTCCAGTGTGCAAGGGGCCGCTCTCCTAGCCGTGTCCCCACCCCTCTGTGAAGCCTCGCGTGGATTCGGACCCACCCTGTATTCCCTGCCCCTTCGTAGTTGTACTGAGAAACTAGAACAGAGCGCCGGGGCGGTGCTGACCGCTCTCATGGCGGGGATGGTGCAGCGCACGCCCAGGGGCTCCAGGTGACTTAGAAGCAAAGTTTAAAGATGCAAAAAAAAAAACTGATAAAGCTTTTCAAATTGCATTTCTGTTTGAAGAGCTAATTTACAAAGAAGTGCTGGACTGGGAAGAAAGGAGCAAGAACGGTGTGAGAGACCAGCCTTCAGGTTAGTCGTCGCTCTCGCAGTCTGGCCGTGCGTGCTTCTCTCTGCCTTTAACTTTTGCATGTGACAGCAGAACTTGCGTTACCTGCCAGCTTGGCCGGAATTGGGTTAGAACCCCCCGCTCCGGCTCGTCTTGGCGGTGACGTTTGCAGGCGTGCCGGCTCCAGTCTGACTGTTACACGCACTCGCGTTCTGTCCTGTACCCCTGTACCAGCACAGCAGACGAGGACGTGGAGTCAGAGCCTTTCAATGAGCGTGACCCTTGACCCTTAAACTGGCTCCACCCAGTTACAGAAGAACAGAAATGCAAGTCCGCATGCGTAGAATTTGATTTTCTCTTGAGAAAATCGTCCGTGTATTCCTCCCGCTTTCCTGCTCGATCTAGTGGTAGCTAGTGACCGGGCAGCAGTAGGGTTGTGAGAGGCCGGTACCGGTGACACCCCGTGCCCGTCGGAGTCCACCGGTTTACCAAGTGAAACTGTAAGTTACATTCGTGTTCTGTCACTCCCACAGGAATGTGCACGCACACATGCACACATGCTAGAAGTGCAGATGCTACAGCTAGTCCTTGAACTCTGTTCGACAGGACACACGTGGCACCTGGACGGCGTGGCTGCAGGGAGCGTCTGGGGCTTGTTAGCCAAGCCCAGGGGTGGGCCGCAGGCGCCGATCTCCCAGGGCTGCAGATTTCGTTTTTGTTCAAGCCAGGCGTGGGTAGTAAGTAATAGGGTAGTTTCATTGGATTTAAAAGATTAAAATGTCACTTTTCTCATAAAAACAAAACATACGAGAGACCGCTAGTTTTTCCCTTTTTTTAGTACAGTCCTTACTTCAAGAGGCGTTTCCATTGCAAACATTTTCGAATCCTGGTGCTTTTCCGTAGAGTTGGTGTCTGCGTTGTGGTTGGCTCGTCTAATGACACTGGGGACTCAGGCTTAAGCATCTCAGGGTACTGAGGACGAGAGAGGGTTGTTACAGAGAGAGACACGGAAGTACGGGGGACCCTGGGCCTAAAGAAGGACTTGAGAAAGAGCCCCAAACGTGCTTGACTCTCCGCGTCTGCCGGCAGGCTGGGGACTGCGAGAGTGCGCGCTGCAGCGGCCCGAGCCTCGCTGCCCGCCTGCCGCAAGGCCGTGCCTCAGATTTTACTGTTTGGTTTTCTTAGCACAGATGCAGCAGTAAGTAGCAACGCCACTCCTTCTCAGTCGTCATCGATCAACGACATCTCATCCATGTCCACCGAGCAGACACTGGCCTCAGACACGGACAGCAGTCTGGATGCCTCGACGGGGCCCCTGGAAGGGTGTCGCTGAGAGCTGAGGGCCAGCCGGCTGCCGGCAGAGGAGGAACTCTCGCTTCCAGGGGCCCGACCTGGCGGGAGCTGGTGGAGCCAGTTGGAAACTCCGTTCTGCATGTAAGAAACGACGCCGCGCCAACCTGGCTCCCGTGGGACCGCCTGCTTCGTCCTGAAACAAAGCCAGTTACGTCCGAAGGAAAGGCACAGGCCACACTTGCAGAGAGTCTGTTCGAGGTCATTTCAGGCGAGCAGTTAGAGTAGAAGGAGTCTTTTCCATCGCACGGTAGCGGTAGTGACGACTCCTCGTCCCGTGACTGCTGGGACCCATGTGCATGTGACCACAGATGTCGCTTGGACGCGCCCACCTCGCACTGTGGGAGCCAGTATTTAAATGCCAGCTGACCCTCCAGGCAGTGCTGCTTCTAGAATTTTCTCCTAATCCTCTTAAGTGACCCGGTGTCTGTCCAGAGCAAAGTGGATTCCTGTGTACCGACTGGCTGCCGTCGTGTTAGCCTCACCCCCTCTGTGGTGTGATTATTCTATCTTTTGTATTTCAGAATGAGTATAATTAAATCTATTTAATAAATAAGAAGCATAGCTTTTCTTAAATGTGTGATGCTTGTCTGAGAGCTTCACTGGGACAGCCCAGGCCTCGCACGGGCGCCTGCCTGCCCTGGACTGTCCGGGCTGGGGTGACTGTGCGTCGGCTTTACTGCATGGCAACATCTTGAGTTGAGTTTTGTGCCGGTTAGACGTACGTACCTCCCAGATCCTGCCAGTGCTCTGTTTTCTTGGTCTTCTGGACCTGCTATTAACTGAAAAGCCACCTACAGTTTCGCCCCCACTTAGTCACACGGGCATTGCATCTCGATAGTGTGCAGGCTAAGAGAGTCCGGAATCTGTTGCCAAACTCTGGAACAGGCGTTTACGAGACGACCACTGAAGATGACTGCAGCCATTTGCTAAAAGCTTCCTTCGCCAGAGACTGGCTGGGTCCTGCCTGGCCCTGCGCGTCAGAGGTGGAGGCTGAGTTCTCAGACGGCTCCCACCTGCACCTACGCCCCGTCTCACTGGCTTTTCTCTGAAGGAAACCCCGATGGCCCCAGGAAAGCTCTCGGCGGGATCTGGAGGAGACGCCCTGGAGTGTCGCAATGCGCTGTCAGCACCTGGTCTAGAACTGCCACCCGCAGTCGCTGCTCTCAGCTGCGCACCCGGCCCTCGCGTTGTCATGCTGCGGAGGGCGCCGGGGCCACTGCAGGTCCAGCTGCCTGGCACACCCTACCCGTCTGGGCTGGTGAGGTCCCCACGCGTGTGGCTGGTCCTGATGTGTAGCTGCGCTCGCTTATCCTGGAAGCACGTCGGTCCACGTTGTGTGGAATGTGTTCTGAGGAAGAACTTTGTTAAAGCTTCTTATAAATAGTACCTGAAGCATACGATTCTCCGCACCACCTGATCTTCGCACTGCAGACTGGGCCCTCGGTGAACAAAGGCAATGTCGGAGTCAGGAACCGTTTTATATTTTACCGCGTAGACACCCCAGGTGCACAGTGGGGACAGCGACTCAGACTGAGGCAGGGGCGTGACGTGTGTCCTGAGGTGGAGGCTGCCTTGGAGGCCCGCGGTGCAGTTAGGGTGCCCCTGTGCATCATAGACATCTTCAAGTGGCCGTCTAAGACATGTTCTTTTAAAAGACTACTCTGTCTTGAAAAGGGAAACCAGAAGGGAGCGTTGTAGAAGCGAATCTCTGCCCTGTGCCGTGTGACAACCTGCCGGCGGTGCGGTCACAGCCCCCTTCCCCGACACTGGAGTGACAGGGCACACGGGGCCTTCTGCGCACACTCTCCCCTGCATGTCCAGCCAGACCGTGGCCTGGATGGAGCCAGTGATGTAGACGGGGTTTCCTGCCCAGGACCTTGTCTATCAGGCAGAAGCCAGTGCCCCTGGGACAGGCCCCAGAGTCCACGGAAACCCCTCGCCCAGTTGCAGGTCCTCCTGCCTGGGCCTCCTTTCTCTGGGGCCGGGTGCGCTGCCGGTTTCAGAGTGCTCGCTGTGGGTGAGAGCAACAAGACAACGCCCAGAACGCGCTCGACTTCATTTTCTACTTCACTTTCATCACTTGTACTGTACACAGCCCTGGAAGTAGCAGTATTTTGTAAACCAGATAACTTCTTATTATCCTGGCATTTGGACTAGGTTCGTTTCATTCGTTGGCTTGGTTTTCGACCAACAAGGAGACGCCCGCCTCCCCTCGGCCAGGGGCTGACCTCCACGTGCAGGCCCTGGGGCGGAGTTCCACGCCAGGGAGCGGCAGGCGGAGGCACTGGCTGTGCAGGTCGAGCTAGCTCTTGACCCGGAGCCGGAAAGCTTCCTGCTTGAATGTTCAAGACGCAGAGCCGCGGTGCTGCAAAGAGCCCCTTGGCTGAAGCGGGCCCGCGTCTGGGACGTCGGAGGGGACACAGGTTTAATTCCATTTTCCCTGCCAGTCACATGATGTGTCAGTTCGTCTCGGTCCTTCCTGGTGTGTTTCATACTGGTCGTAAAACACAGGTGACCTTTCAGATTGCAGATCTCAAAAGTAGCATTACCTCATATTTTCTAATGAGATACGTGACGTGTGATCGGTGCAGGTAACAGACTCCACTTTGAAAAGACTTACACCATTGCCCGTCTCGGTTTCTGAGACGCCGACTCCGCACCTCGCCCTCCCGCTGCACGCCTGTTCAGCGCGGGCCGGCGCCGTGCTGTGGTGCAGTCAGCATAGCACGTTTCAGGCGAGGGCAGAAGCATCTCTCTGCTAGCTCCTGTTGTGAAGTCACTGCGGGTCCCACAGCTAAGTTTTCAGAAGCAGTGGCAGTAAGCTTCCGCTTCCAAACCGCCATGCAGGCTGAGACGCACCGAGTACCCCACGGAGCGTGGCTGGGAGTCTGCCCGTCTGTCTCCAGGTGCCTCAAGTCCTTCATGGAGCAGCTGTGGCTGGGGGTCCGGGGGTGGGCCCGGCACCTG